AGGGTTTCTGCAGCCTCGAACAGGTTTCCATGCACAGTTTAGGTGGAGATCCATGTGTTTGTAGGTCTGCAGGGCGTCTATCCTGCCATCCTAGTTGAGCGGAGCTTTGGAGGGAATGTTTTAGAAGCTAACTCTGCTTTAAATGTCTCTAGAATCTCCTCCCTAACCCTTATGCAGGCTCTTCACTGTTCATGATGTTGGTTTTAATGTGGTTTTAAGGAGTGAATTCTTTCCGAGACGCTGAAACCGACTTTGATCAGTCGGTTCCAGGTTTAACGGAGCTGTTGGCTTCACTCTGCATTCATACGAACCCTTGCAATGAAGACTCCAGCATCCAGAATGGCTTTAATGTGTTTGAGCCAACCAGAGTTCTCCAGCCCCCACAGGAAGTCGGTCATGGACGGAGTGCGCATCTCACCCACTGCAGGAGGAAAGAGGATGATACATGAGGACCAGCAGGGGGCAGCATTTTACCACCTCAGGTATCATAGAACCACTCAACCAGAAACTGAACGCACCGTCGATGATCTTCTGCTGGCTGCTCCTCATCACGTGGATGTTCTCAATGCCAATGAAGTGCAGCTTGATGTTGGTGTAATGGTCCTCGTTCTCATAGCCTTTACCTGCGGCTCTGTTCGCCATGGCGTTCAGCTGCGAACACAATAATCAATTGGAATTATGACTGAAACAATTAATCGAGTATTAAAATAATCGTCAACTAATTTCGTCATTGAATAATCGTTAACTAGAATATAAAGACTGAAAAAATGCTTCACCTGGTTTAAACTCAGTATAACATCATCTTGATTAATCAAAATAAAGACTGATCAACCAATCCAATTGATTCCAGTTAATCAGTCCTAATTAGAATATAGTTGCTCCTTTAAAGATCATAAAGTCCTAATCACAAAACTCAAATGATTGGTGACGTTACATTCAACAAAAGTATGACGCTTATTTTCTCACTTTAGGCCTTTTGGTGGTGACGATAAACTTATATTCTGCCACTGAATGCGTACAGATGTCAAACTTTTAGCACTCAACAGTGAAGGTAAACATGTTCAGCAACAATGGGTTCTGGAAAAATTAGCCTTAAAAGCCACAAAAACATAAAACCCAGGAGCGAACGCCTTTGGTCAGGGTAAAGGAAGCCTTAAGGGTATATAGGACGTTCTTTTATTTCAGGGTAGATCATCTAAATAAATGCTCCTCCTATGTGTAAATCATTCTGGTGATACGTTTGCGTTAGGCCATCCTATGTGTTCGTCCCGTTAGCGATCTTTTTCTGCGCGTGCGCACTTTCAGGTGTAAATGAGCTCGGAGCTATAGTTTCTGACAGTCCCTGAAGCTCACATTTCTCACAGTGGTTCTTTGAAAATGGCAGAGGGTTGCGGAGAGCTCTCCTCGCAAAGCATTAAACGATTTGCGGTTACAGCGGTCTGCTGTCGCCATAGGCTGCTGCTACTCGACAGCGGTGACTAGTAACAAAGATGCCGCAGACACACGCAGTGGAGGAGGAGTTATGTGACCAATAGTGATTGAGGGATTTAGGCGTTAGGGCAGATGTTTGGACACAGTAAGATTGTATGAGTTATAAGAACAGCAACTTTTAAGAGAGCGT